ACTTGGGAGTGTTACCTCTGAACTAGATGACCTCTAAGGCCCTAAGTGGGGACAGCTAGGTGGCGCCATAGTGCATAGAGTACACTGTGGAGTCCAGAAGACTCATCTTCCTGAGTCCAAATCTGGCCTCTGACACTTACTAGTTGGGTGACCTTGGGCAAGTTACCTAATGCTATTTGCCTCAGTTTCCTCATCTGTCAAATGAGCTGAAGAAGGAAATGGAAAACCACTTCAGTATCTTTGCTAAAAGCAAACAAACAAACAAACCCAAATGGGGTCACAAAGAGTCAGACAGTGAAAAATGACTCAAAAAGAACAAGGTCCTAGGGTTCTGAGGATGCAGAGACAACAAAAATTAGTCCCTACTCTCAAGGGACTTACGTTCTTTTAGGGAAAACAGTATGAACATATATTAAAAACATAAAATATGTACAAAGCACATAAGAAGGTAATTTTAAGTGGGGGCCTAGTCTCTGAGGGAAACAGGAAAGGCTTTGAGTAGGAGGTGGTACATAAACTGAGCATTGCAGGAAGCGGGGGTAATTAAATACAGAGGAGCAGGGAGTGCATTTTAGGCATGGGAGAAAGATTGTACAAAGTCACAGAGCTGGGAGAAAGATATCATGCCTAGGAGTAGCAAGCAATCCAGTTTGGCTGAAATGTAGATACCTAGTAATATATAATAAGCCTGCCAAGGTAAAAATGGAGCCAGATTGTGAAGGGCTTTAAATGCCAAATAAGTTTGTAAGTTATTCCAAAAGACAGTATGGAGCCATCTATGGTCAGACCTGTGATTTAGGAATATTAATTCAGCAGCCATGGACAAGGGAAAGGAAAGACTTGAGGTAGGGTGGCCAACCAGGAGGTCATGGCAATTGTCTAGTTCAGATCAGCAGTTCTTCTGGATCTCATGAACTTAGAAATTGCTTGGGACATTGAGAAGTTAAGTGACTTAGCCACAATCACACAGATGGTATGTGTCAAAGACAGAACTTTATCTCCCAGGTCCTCCTGATTACAAGGCCAACTCTTCATCCCTGCACCATGTTGCTCTTAACCAGAAATAGCAGCGATAATAAGAGTAGCAGCAGTGGCAGTGGCAGCCATTGTATGCGCTTATGAGTTCTGTCTTCCTTACCACATTACAGTCTCATCCATGGGCTCCATGGGGCTCATATTTAACTGGAACAATGGGCCTAATCAAGTTAAGACTAAATTTAATTGAATTTAAATGTAAAGTGTTATGCTTGGGGTCAAAAAATCAATTTCCTAAACACCAGATAGAGGAGGAATACTTAGATAATAGTTTATTTGAAAAAGATTTGGGTTGGACTGCAAGCTCAGAATTAGTCATCAGTGCGAAATAGCAGTAAAAATTGCTAATGAGATCATAGGCTACATTGAGAAGATACAGTTTTCAGAAGAAAAGAAGCAATAGTCTGGATTGCATTCCTCCTTGGTCAGACCACATCTGGACTATTGCATGCAGTTTTGGGCACAATATTTTACTGGGGAAATTATCAATATAAACTAGAGAACATTTGAGAGATGATGACCATGGCTAGGAGCAGGGTGGTATATACATAGAGGAAAGGCACTAGATATGGAAACAAGAGGCTAGGTTTCAAATCTTGAATCTACCATTTTCTGGCATTTATTGGGTAAGTCCTTCTGTATAGACTTGTTTACTTATTTGTAAACTAACAATAATACTATTCACATAGCACTTAAATGTTTGCAAAGCATTTTACACACATTAACTTATGTGAGTTAATGAAGGCATTGGAGTAGATGATGTCTCTGGTCGCTTCTAGCTCCAAGTCGAAATCTGTGAAAGGGAAGATGGAGAGTGATAGAGGGACACAGAGAAAGAAACAGAAACCACGGGTTGAGGGGGAAGGTGGAGGAATCTCCGTCATGTGAGGTCTTTGAGAAAAGATTGCAGGACCACTTGGACAAGATGCCCTCTGAAATCCTCTCAGGCTCTGAGATTTGGTGACTCGGTGAGGTATTTACCTAGAGGTGTGTTGGGTGTGACTTTCAGCAGAGGTGTCCACCAGTGGCCAGCAATGCTCCTGATTGCCCTTGATCCAGACATCAGAGCCCATCTGTTCCAACCCACTCATTTAATAGATGCACCATTTGAGATCAAGGATGATTGAGTAACCTGCCCAAGGTCACGGAACTAGTAAGAATCAGGAAGAGCTTATGAACCCAGGCCCTCTGACTCCAGAGACAGTGCTCTTTTCATCACCTCTATGCCTATTGGCCAATTGATTGATTGGCTGGAGAAGCACCGGCAAGTTCTCTAAGTAAAAATGTATCTCCCACTGCTATCCAAGGTTCCTTATTAGTTGCAAATTCCCTTGGATTCAGCATTGCTTTCTTTAAGACTCCACCTTTAAAATGAAAACATCCCTGAAAGAGGTGGAGTACTATATTCAGTCTCTCACAGGTAAGTGTGAATGGGCTTTGTATATGTTTTCCTCTGCAATAGGAAGGACTTGGACGCAGCAGTGGACGCCTGTGGGAAAGGAAGGGGTGGGAGGTGTATAAAAAGCTACACTGTGGGGCAGCTAGGTGGTGCAGTATAAAGAGCTCTGACCTTGGAGTCAGGAAGACCTGAGTTCAAATTTGACCTCAGACACTTGTTACTTACTAGTTGTGTGACCCTGGGCAAGTCACTTGACCCGATTGCCTCACCAAAACAAACAAACAAACAAAAAGAAAACTACACTGGTATCACAGTCATGGCAGAGGTCAGAGGTCACAGTTGGACCCAGGGTAATTGGTTCATAGATCCAGAGCCAGAAAGGACCCAACCTCCTTTTACAGATCAGTCAATAAGCATTTATTAAATGCCTAAGTGCAAGGCACTCTGCAAAGTGCTGGAGACACAAAAAGAAGCAAAAGATAGTCCCTGCCCTCAAGGAGCCTACAATCTAACGAATGGAAAAAAATTGAGGCCCAGGAAGTTAAAGGACTTTCCTAAATTTACACAAGTAGTAACGATTAGAAACAGGATTTGAATCCAGATCCTGTGACTAGAAAGTCAGTGCTCTTTCCATTGTCCCAAGTTGCCTCCTTTCTGATTCTTCTGATGCCAGGCTCCGTTCACTATTCCAAGTATCTGAAGATGAAGTAGGTAGTATTTGTAGA